CTGACCTTTGGTAAGTTTTTCCAAATTACTTTGCTCAAGCAGTCAACAGGATACACAGATATTCCATGAATCTTTCTGACTCTACGGATTTCCCAACAGCCACATAATAGTATATATATTCTGAAATAGTAAACAGCTACATTTGTGCCACTACCAAAACAATGATTTTGTACCAAAAGCCAAGCAATCATCTCTGGTCAAGCACTGAATGAAGGAATCATGTACTGCATGTATATTATACCATTGCTGTGTGGATCAGGGAGAGAAGTAATATTTGACACGCTTCCGCAGGCAGCTCTGTGCATCCTGGACAGGAATCAGTGTGAATGAACTGCACTGATACGCATGCTAAGTCCTGTGGGATGGTCAGGTTTAATGAACTAATGTATATCATCTGTGTTGCACTCAGAATAAGTCCGATGCTAACTGAGGGCACACGCTGCACAAGACAATTAAGCTGTGCATAGACTACGGCCATGGTGACATGATCAGCAACCTGGTCAGAGATAAAACTGCCATCTTTGAGAAAGGCCTGCAAAAACACAGAAAATCCTCCAAGTTTGCCAAGAAAATCCTCGGACACAGTTCCCAGGAGGAAAGAAGATGATACCACATGCACAGAAGAATTACTAGTGTTCAGATTGTGGGGATGAAGTATAACACAGCACAGATGTTAGCCAGAATGCTGTCACAGAGAAAATTAATCTTTGCCACATCTTACCAAAAGTGTCTTCCACCTGCTTCTCCTGCTGATCTTTGAGTACATATTCTGCTAATTCAGCTAGCATGAAGGGGAAAAAAAAAAGAAGGAACACAGTAATGACACAGTAAATTTCACAGTAAAACTCTTGCAAGCTTACCCTCACTAACAGAGTTCTGCAGTATAAGTGAAATTGAAGAGTTATATTAAATTTTTCTTGTAAATTGTTGTTCAGGAAATAAAGAACAAGAGAAAGGAGAAGTTGAAACAGGAAGTATTAAGTAGAAGGAGCCATTAATAGAGAGATTTTCCCCCAACAACCACAAGCTGTTTCCCCACAATGCACAAGTTTAGGTGCCCGGGCTAGATCTGCCATGCATGAAGGACAGGCCACTTGAGTATATGTCACTGCTTTAGACTGAAAATGGAATTTGTAAGAAATAGCTATAGGAATTGATTGGAAAATAATGGCTTAAAACACAAAAATTGCTTCCATACCTATTCTAGCATAAGCTTCTATGGTGTTGGAACAGAGATACAATTCATCCCCATTTTCACCATTTTCCAATGCACACAGATAATCCATATTATTGATCTGATCACAGTTGCTGGCATCAACTTCAGGATCTAGAATTAAAAAGGAGTGCACACTGGCTCAACGAATACCATAACCAAGGAGTAAAAAGCCCAGACAGCAGGACATGAAGAACAGGCAGATTTCTTGCTTCAGCATAAGGCTTTGTCTCTTCATTGTATGCTGGCTAAGCAGGAACAGAACTGAACTCTTAGTAATTTATAGTTACCCAGAAATCAACATTTTTCTTGTGCTAAACTCTCAGACTTCATCTCTCCCAGTAAATAAAACTGTTCCAGCGTTCGTTCTATGACACTAAGGCATACATGTATGGCCTGGGCTCATCCATATTATTAAACCTTCATACTCTTCAGGAAATGGTGGTACCATCCAAATTCCCTGTTCAGAATGATGCTGGGTCCATGCTGACGGCTGAACTGCAGCTACAAATTGGCTGTGAAACTGCTAGTTGGCCAAGGCCAAAACCATGCCAGGGACCACCCTAACATCTTCACAGCAGAGATGTCCAGCTTCCACTAACCGGCGCCATGAACCAACAATGTTCTATTTATCTACATCATCTCAGGCACTGCTAAGGCTCAGAAGTAATCAAATCAGTGAAACATTTCTGATACAACAAGAGTCAGTCCTTGATCCCTAATTCATCCTACTTTCAGCTGCTGAGCAATTGAGGCCATGGGAGTGAAGAAACACTCCTGCAGGTGTTATGAACAGTCAGAAGGTGAGAGAGCAAAGCTCAACCTGGGAAATAATTAATCACAAAGATGATTCCAGATTCTGTTGCTCAGTTCTCCACTGATTTGCTCATGTACCTGCTGACACTGGTCACTCATGAAAGCAACAAGGATGCTAGGTTGTACCCTCCAATATGGTAATGTTTTATACCTATCGGGCACAGAGCTATAGGACTCAATATCTGGCATGCATCTGTTCTCCTTTCATTGCCAATCTCAACCCACAGTCCAGCTCATTTGTTTAAAATAAGCTTAGCTACTGCTCCACAACACAGCCAGCAGCACAGATACTTTTATACCAGCAAGCCCAGGGAGAGCAGAATGTTCCACAACCTCCATGCAAATCCAGGAGCAGAAAGTTTGAGAGCCAGGACAACCTCCTGATCTGATTAGATGTAGGAATTTATGTGCAAGAAACTGTCATCTTTACACCCTGGCCTTTCTGCTTTCTCCTCTATCACAGAATCATAAAATCACTGGTCTGTGCCCCCAGAAGCTGTAAAATGGCAGCTGGTAATGAAAATCCATTGTGTTGGTGCATTAGGATCTCAGAAGGAAATGAAATGCTAGTTTGTTTGCCAACTGGTTTCACCACAAACTCATCTGAAAGTCTTTGGTTTGCAAAGCTTTTGGCTCAAAACTACAAAAGCGTTGACAATTACACTTGACCAGCTTACGATAGCAACATCTGCAAATAAACTACTTACTTGAACAATATCCAAGCCAAAGACATTAGCCTCAGACCTTGATGAGCGACATGCATAGTATGTTTTGTTAGACTCACTGAGCAGGAAGCTGTAAATATGTACAGTTTTAAACACGTGATAGTTCCTGGAAGCAGTCACTATTTTATGTACAGATACAGACAAAGCTATACTGTAAGACCAAGTGCCTGCTGAATTTAGTCCAGCCACCATGATAAACTGCAATTAGATGGCTACGTAACTGAGAGGCATTGGTAATAACTTACAGCATGAAGACTAAAATAATCCAGCATTTTTTACTGTTTTACTAACCTGCAGAGAAGTCACCTTCTTCATTTCCAGATGACTTCGGATCAAGGAGAGTATACAGATGCAATGGATCGATATTACTGTGCAGCAAATCAAGATAGCCATTTTCCGACACGAATGCTGAATCCATGGTTTGTCTCTTGCTGTCTGAAATCAAATTGCAAAACTGTTAGCTACGAAAAAACCACAGCTTTTGTCAACTAAAACTACAAGTCCTGCCTGTGGCTTTCTGTTGACAAGACACTGAGATCTTAAGGCTGTGGAACTGGTACTGCTTACCAAGTCTCGTGTTGAGTTATACACCCGAGTTACTTAAACTTATAGATGCAGATACAGCTTTCATTTAGACTTCTCTGTTTTTTTACTTCAGTCAGGGCAGTGGGATACTGCAGTCTGACCACCTGGACCAAAAGTGCCACGTCTTGAATAAGTCACAACTCCTGTATCTTTATCAGGATATAAATGATGCAAGCACAGATCCAGCAGGTATCTGGGAAATGAGAAGACTACTATGCAGGGGGGTTGGACTAGATGACCCTTACAAGTCCCTTCCAACCCAAAGTGTTCTATGATTCTATGAAGAGGATGGAAGAAGAATCCCATTCTTTACCATCAGGACAATTTCTTCTCAGGGGAAGCAGCCTCTGGCTGGGATTCTACACCCAGTTCCTAAGCCCTGGAGGCAGCACTAGGAGACATCCCCTCAGCACAAGAAGGAACAGTGAAAGGTAGAACACTTATTATATATAGTTCTTTCCCAAACCATGCGGTTCATTGTGCACAGAAATGCATGGTCACCTGGGGAATTAGTTTCTGGTAACAGTGCACTCATAGAGTCTATCACAATTATTTTTTTAATCAACTTTCTTGCTCCCCTTGGAATCCGTGAGTGTACCTACTCATGAATTGGGAATTGCTACAGCCTTGCAAGCAGAGTGCCATAAGGTATCCAGACAAATCTGACTGTTCTCAGGTGCTCCTTGCTCCAGTCACCCATGTTTATACAAAAACTGCTTAGATTGCTGCAGCTACGTTTCTTGATAAAGCTTATCTCTTCCTCTACCTCATTTTGAACCCTTGCTATTTCTTTCCAGTTACTGCAGCAGGCACTACCATAAGCTCAAACATTCCTCCTGGATATTCCACAGGCAGTGGAATAACACTACTTGTTGATTATTCATCATCTTTATCAAACTATTTCAAAACCAAATATTGGCTCCTGAGTGTTTACAGATCACTGATATGAATCCCACCTGGGCTGGTGATCCAAGTAATTTACTCCACCATAATATTGAGATGCCAGCATGAAATGAACAACTAGCAAAATTTCCAGACTGTATCCTGTTAAAATAGGTGTCCACACACCACAGCCACGAAAAGATTCAGCTTGGCATCAAGCACCATATTTTTCAATGATGGATAACTATAATACAGCTCTGAAATATTGTTCCTTTAGCAGAATTCCATCGATGTCCCTGGCTGCACATGTCTACTTTTCTGAGGTGTGCAAATGTGGAGCAACCTGCTGTACCACGAAGTCTACCTGCAACATGAAAACAGAGAAATACAGCTGACACTGCAGCTCCCATGAAAGAAGGCAGAGCAGACCTAGACACACTCTATCACCTCCCGCTTCGTTATAAACTGGTCTTCATCCCTCTTACCCCTCTACGGGGCTGCCCCCCTGAACAGCTTGGAACTGGACCTCCCTCTGTTCTGCTGCAGAAGATATTAGAACCTAGATCCAGAAGTTAGAAGAGTGGGTGGACACAGTGAGGTCCCATGAGTAGGAACAACCTATACTCAGGTAGTTCTCCTTTTTTGTGTTGCATGGCCTCATAATGTTACCAAGATTACAAAAATTTGATATTATTGCCTGCCATGCTATAAACAGAAAGTAGAAGTTGACAAACCTGCATGAGAACCAAGAATGAGGTTATAAACATACCAGACTAAATTTTCAGTTTGTTCCAACATTTTACAGTGCCCTTTCCTTTGTTGATTTAATGTAAAATCCAAATGGAGTTGGGCCTTTCAGAATGCCAGGTTGCCGGACTTTGTGAATAACGCTGTTGAAGCATTACCTCTGAGTCGATATAGCTTTGGGGCTAGTGACAGAGAAGTAACTGAAGACAGACAAATGCATACTCCAAGTTCAGTGATTAGTAAACTGCTTGATTACACCAGGCAAAGGAAGGGGCAAGTTCTATCAGAAGAGATAAAGTAGGCCTGCTTCATCTTCGCTGAAATACTAAGCTTTAATTAAGTCATAATCATAAGGGCTTTTCTTATTTTAAATCTTGCTTTCAATAGCATTTCCCTGTGCATAAATATAGAAGTAATGCAAAATGCTTTCAGCTACAATGGTCAAGAAGTCAGGAACCAACCAAGAGGAAGTCTTGCCAGTGCCAAGTCCAGCCAGAGAGCTGAAAATCAGACTAAAACCCAGGAGCAGAGGAGAGAGAGAAACGTAGCCTTCTACCTTGGGAAGAATGAAGACTGCCACTCTTTCAAGAATGAAAAACTTGATTACTTGCCTTATTTGTTTCACCCTTACCCTCATTTTTCTTCATGACTTTGGGTTTGACAGAAATCTATACATAGCTGTCACTCTATTGACTACAGTGGATTTGGGATGCTGTGATTTCTTTCCATAGCTAAACCACCAAATTCTTAATAGCAGCTGTGCTTTGCTGCATTAAAATCACGGTGCCACCATGCAAAGCACTCTGTCCAAGGGTGCAGGAAAAAAGAAGGGAGTTTTTGAAAGATAAAAATTTCTACACCAAGAGTGCCAGAGGCAAGCAGAATTACACCCTGGGAAGAGCAAGACTCTTGCTGCACATTGTAACTGAAGCACACAAAACGAAACCAGACGTTACCAAGGTTGTTTACAACAGCAATTCCTTTCCCAGGGCTTCCCCTTTCTTCTCACAGCATCCCAGCAGTCCCCTGTCTGAGACCGAAGATGAATAAGCTCTGTACTGCTCAGCACTTTCTCTGTTGTTTCATACAAGATTTTAACTCATCATACATCTCCTTTGGGATTCCATATGGTGCTGCCAAAAAGGGCGTTTAGCACATTTTCATATCAGAGGACTAAAAGATCCCGTAATAATTTCTGTGTTGGGGCTGTGACCACTTGAGCCAGCTCTCAGCAGGAGGAGGACAGACCCCGCAGGGGCCTGCAGACGTAGGACTGAGGTCCCTAGGGACGCCGGTGCTCTCCTTCGCAGCAGGCCTCCGTGCATAGAGTGCCTGCGCTGGGCAGGAGGAAGATAGGACATGCTTCCAAACGTATTTCCATGCCATTTAGGAAGTTCAATCCTTTGTTGTTCAGACACAGGATAAGACAGATTTTTTTTCTTTAAACCTTTAAATAACACCTCCTTTCTCCAGCAGCCTACACACTCCAGCTGCGTTGCTGTATTCAGTAGACCTGTCTTCCCTTTGTGTTACCTCTGCAACGATTCAGCATGCAAGGTTTCTGCTCGGGCTTCATTTGTCTGTATTTTGCATATACAGCACAATATGATTCACTTCCAAGACTCTCCATGTTTTTTTCAATGCTCTTTTAGAGTCCAAGTGATACCATATGAGTTAAAAATGCTGGAAAAGTTGTAAAATGAAATAGCAAACACTGCCATACCAGCACAAAGAATCCAGTTAAAGAAGGAGCAGGTTTTCACTTGAATCACATACAAGTCTCAAGAGTTAGATGGGGCATTTTAGATTTCTAGACATAAGGGGGAGTGGCTGTGATTTATCATTTTGCCCCAATAATTTGATCTGTGTCATATTTTAAAGGATCAACATATTAAAGACTCCAAGCAATGGGGTCTGCTACTAACTAAAATCAAATGGTATGTAGGAGAACAGAGAATGATTGTACAGACAATAATGTAACATTTACTCCAAAAATAAGGAGTATGCTTCTGAGATTTGTTAGGGGGTTTCCTTCCAAAAACTCCGTTGACATCTGAACTGACAGGTGATAAAATAATCTCCCACATGTGTACAGAGGTTAAGAAAAAGAAAATATGTAAAGTCATTTCAGAAACAGAGGAAATCCCCCACAATTTAATTTTTGTGCCAGCTGAGGATAATTCATAGGAAAGAGTAGTAGTGCCATGCAAATCACACATTTCTTCACCAGATGACATAACATTACAGCTCCAAGTCTTCAGCTACAGAAAAATAAGAGAGCAGGGCTGCTGTAAAGACAGAATCTTGAAAAATTCAACACCAAGACTGCTGAAGACATGTTATTTTCTTGCAACACACCAGACCCATGAAGTGCCACACACGAATCCGAGTGAAGCAAGCTGACAAAACCCAGGTTATATCAAACTCTAAATATGGAGTCCAGTGAAACACTGGTACTTTGAGCTAAAAGCTCACTATCATCAGCCATAATTTTAAAGCCTGTGTTTTTCAAACAACTTTAGAAAGTCTTTTCTCTTTTTCTGCACCCCCAAAGGTTACGTCATTGTGCACAATACACACACCACAAGGCAGGGCTGCTTCTGCCGCAGGCAGTGTTGTGGGGCAATGCTCTCTGGGAGATAGGCAAGCCAGCAGCGAGAAGGGAGGAAGCCCCCTCCATGCTAGAGTCACCCGTGGCCCTTTCCTCTCCCCAAATCCATCACTTACAATTCCTCTGCTCCACGGGTACCAAACAGATTGTCCTTTTGGAGATCGCCTGATTATGCCTAAACTGCAAGTAACGGCGCTCAGTTTATATTTAGCTTTGAAGGTTTTAGTTTCTATTTCAGATCTATGAAAGGCTGATACATCTGAAAGCCAGTTTAACTTTTCCTGCTGTATTATGTAATTTAACAAAAGATACTACTTTTACCGACAGTCTTTATCTTGCCAATGGAGTGGTGTGTTACTTTCCATGGGCTTGAGAGTCTAAAAAGGAAGAAGAACAGACATGACGCTGGAAAAAAAAGCAGCTCTGTATCCTGCCACATTCTCCATTGTCTCCCTTAGAGATGAGTTTAAAGAAGATAGAAAATGTATAAATATCAGGTAAAAGGAGTTTCTGCCTCTCAGTGAACTTAGCTGTACAAAGAAATGCTACTAGCCCTGCGCTGGAGACAGCCGAGTTCCGGCAGACTAATAACGTACCGTCCTGCAGGTGTCAGAGTTGTGATTTGAGAGCAGAATTTGCCTTTCCTGTCCAGTATCGCCTCGTGTGTCACAGGTGTTCCCAGCTCTCCCATCCCAGCAGTAAGATGAAATAAAGTGGCACAGCAGACACCTTGCTTTTTCAGCAGAAAAAGTACATTTGCACTGAGAGACTTTCTCCAAGGCATAATATCAGCCCTCCTAAACGGGAAAGTAAAGCTCTAGGATGTCTTGCCAGACCCACGAAAAAACTGGAAATTAGCCAGTTTCTTCAATGATCAAAGTTTCACTTTCGATAGCAGTAACATTTATTCAGAAAACAAGTGCATTCGTAACAAAATCTGAAACAAACTTCAGCAACCTTCTGAGCAAGTAACAGGGCTAGTCACAAAACAAAACTGCTACAAATTCTCCAAAATGTCACCCGCATTCACACACATCCTAATACTACTTCAAGCGATACAAATCCAGACACTGACACACTGCACTTACCAATATCTACTAAAGGTGAGATAAGATGAGTTTACCATGACAAAAGCACTGCAGTCAAGAGTTGAGGAAAAACTGACCTGAGGAAACTGGACAGTTCCTGTTCTTTCGCTCTGGATTCAGTACCAAACCCAAGGAGAGCTGCTGTCTCTGCCCAGGGCTTAGAGAAAGTGACACCAGAAAGGAGGAAACAAGTGAGGCACTGCAGAAATGTTAAAGGCTTAGGGGGAATTCCAAAGAGGAAAACCAAGAGGAACCTCCCTTCCAGCCACCCCCATATAATAAGCACTGTCACGTTTACGGGTCACTTGCCACCAGTTAGGAACAGCTTGATTTATTCAGTTGGAAACTGAAATCGGATGAGAGCCAGCGGCGACAATTTCCAGTGCTCCCCAGAATTCTTCCTCTCCTCTTTTATTCCAGTTCAAATCTGTCCCAAACTCAAGCTGTTTAACAGTCCATCAGCAAGAACCAAGCAAGCAGCATGTGGACGCTCTTACCTTGCAGCTTCATTTGGTGTAACAGAAGTGAAAGTACTTCTTTCACATGTTCACAGATTCTACCAATACAAAATTAGTTTGGTAGCTTGTGCAAGTATCTGTTGCCATTGGCCCAAAGTGAAAAGTAGGATGTTCTATGAAACGGGCTCATAGACCTTGTCTGGCTTGCACACGGTGTTCAGGGTTTGCTTGTACCAGCATGTGACAGAACGTTTATTCATCCAGTCACCACTTACCCTGACAGTGCCTATCTGGTGTAAGACAAACAACCGTTTGCAAACCAATTCCATTCATGATGTTCCCGTCGTGATGCCTATAGCTGCTTCTGTGCGGCTCTGCAAGCTTCTCTGCCTATTTTTCTATTTTTTATCATGCATAGACCTACACAAATTAGAAATTAATTATGCAAGACAATATACTCTCAAGTGAGCAAATACTTTTTGTAGTATTATTCTGTTTGCTATAGCTTATAACAGAAGTTCCACCAGAGTCTGAAGAGGAAATGAAAGAAGTGTGATCTGATGAAGTGAAGGACATCCAGGACTTGCTGCTTCAGTAAGGGAAGTTTTTAATCAGCTGCTCGGTAACAAATGGCTTCTGCACAAGGCAGCAGGTCCCATAAGCAAAGCAGCTGCTGACTGGTGTAAGCCTTTTCCCTTTGCAGAGATGATCCACTTCCACCAGATCCCATGGGAACACGCTCACTGAGAAGAGGTAAAGCTGTTTCATTCCTGGAAATGGCTGATCTGTTCCCAGTATTTACAGAGACATGAGGCCCAACCTGTGATGCAGATCACTAGCCTCTTCAGGCTCTCTAACCACCCAGGCAGCTGTGTTCTTGGAATTCCTCTTTGCACATTAGAAGAGAAGCAATAATATATAACATAATATATAAAATATAAGAGGATTCAGAGCAGAAAATAATGAAAGGCTGCACAAATACAAATTCTGTATTTTAGTGTTCTGTTTTGATAGGAGATAATAATACAACCGCTGCATGGGAAATCCCTACAAAAGCTAAGGGGGTTATTTGTTAGCCCTGTTCTAATGTGCATCACAACCCCACAAGTTATAAGCTCCTTTACAAGCCCTGCAGGCAGATTTCTTTTCCAGCTTCTGAGGCTGTAGTCCTACGAGGCAATCTGTGTACTTCAAGCATGACTGTCTGGGGAACAGAAGAGTTCCGCTGTTTACTGTGTTCTTAAGCACAGTAAAGACTGGTTGTCCACTTTTCATACAACATCCATTGGTGCTTAGAAACACCAGAAAGGAATTGCTGGAGCATATCAGAGTACCGGTTCATGTAGCAGACTAGTCTATAAAGATGGTCTTAGAGACAGAGGGAGAAGCCGACTGGAAAACAGGAGGCTGTGAGACAGCTGAGATCTGCCTAAGCTTCTCAGGTGACCATCAGCTTCTTTGCTTCAATGTTTGCTGATACACTGCTCTACTGCAAGAGGAGGGAACAGAATGTATTGATTAGTATTGGAAGCACTGCAAAACAGATGTCAATAGCGCACTTTGCAAGAGGGGGAAGGCTTGGACTTTCTTGTCCAGCAATTGTGAAGATCTGTACTGTGGTAGAAGAAATAGTTGCAAAACTATTATGCAGTTAGTGATAAGCCTGCTGATATCAACCTGTTCCTGACCTGAGTTTTCTTTACAAGGCTTCTTCAGAGTGAAACAATGATTGACCATAAGGCTGAAAATTAAGAAATTTCAAAACAGAAGTCAGGAAAGAATTTGCTTCAAAGGAAACTAACGTCTCTAATACAATTTGAGTCATTTCCTTGTGAATTAATGTCTTTGAAACCGCTTTTTTTAAGCCTATCTCTACTACAAAATCTAGACAACAGTGGCAATGGTTGAACACATGATGGATGAAGACTAATGCTTCTTCTGATGCACTTCAACTTCCCTCTGTCATGTCTCAAATAATCACAGGCTCTGTGACAGAGACACAGAGCCACGCATGGCATGATGGAGATCTTTGAAGGGATATTTTAGGTGCTACCATGACAAAATGAGAAGGAGCAGATATCTTTTCAAGCACTTCAAGGATTAATTAAAAGTAGAAACCAGACTACATATACTCCTAGCATGAGTGACACTAGGCCACTTGCTATGATATTCTACATTAAAATATGAATTCTTGGCATTCATTTGAATGTGTGTAATAACAGAGCTAAAATCTTCCAGGTCAGTGTTTTGGCCTCTCATGAACTTTTAAAATTCTTTTTCCCCAACATTTCCTTTTGTACTTTCATCCATGCCTTGAGAAGTAATGTCAAATACTGTGTTACAGGAGAGGAAAAAATTTATACCTCTCACTATGTTGCAGCCCAGGGTCCTTCCATCAGTTTTACAGGACTACCCGAATATTCTAGTAGGCATTCTTTTACTCTCCTTTTACAGTTGCTTGGTTTTGTAAAAGCAATTCTGAATGCTATCATTGAAGCTGGGGTTCTGTCATTTTACATTGGATGGACAAAGTTAGGATCATCCCAGAGCTACCCCTGTTCTCCAACATATACAACATTAATCCTTTGGTGGATCAGATTTAAACGTGAGTTTACTGCCTCAGAACTATAAGGTGTCTGCATTTTTATCCCTCCTGCTGCCCACTAAAAACCTCAAAACTCTTGAACCTAGCCTCATAAGTCATTAAGTACTTCCCCTCCTCAAATCTGCAGCAGTCTCTTGTAGGCAGTGCAATTTTGTCGATTACAGAGAGCTGGAATTTAAAGTGGAGAGCATTCCTCCTATGTATGATTGAAAAAGGTAAGAGATTCCCCTACATGAGTTGCCAGCACGTGCCATGAGCAAATGCGGCTCAGACTCGCAATGGTTGGTACATCAGTTGAGAAAAACTGACCTTATCTTTAACCTACTTTGCATTTCTGGTTCTGCAAAAGGTGGCGAAGAACAAGTTTTATCATGGCCTGGCTATGAAAATCGGTATCTGGTAGCTACCCAGAATGGGTGGATCTCCTTTTAGCTGTTCTTGTGTTAAATCTGCTCCCTTCTCTTCCCCACCTGCTCTCCACTGATGTACTCTGCACTATGCCACAATGCAATAAACAAAAGCAAATCTTTAACAAAGGAAAAAAGAAAAAAAAGCTGATTTACCAGAAATGTACTTGCTTCCTGTTGGCTCATTATCTGTCACATTTTGAGGCTTACCGCCATAGAGGTTTAAACAACAGAGGGGAACCAAAGTGTTCAAGTACAGGTCCCATTTTTCCACAAATGTCAGAGATATCTTCCTTGCGAGGTCCTCTCTGTCTTTTTCACGGAGCAAGGCTTGATGGTACTCCTTGGATATCACATCTTCTTTCAGCATGAGGTTAAGCAGCGCGTGGTCATCAGAGGCTGTAGCAGTTGAAAGAATCTTCCTTACTCTAGGCAGGATCTCCTTAAAGAGGTTCATACTTGCATCTGAAGATGTTTGAAGGAGGTCTGAGCAAAATCTGAACTGTTTCAATAAAATAAAAAAAGTCCACTCAGTCAGCATCAAAAAGATGAAGTGAAAAAAAAAAATTTAAGACACTTTAGCCTGCAATAGCAGAGGTATTTCCTCATTTGATTAAGCCTTTAAATAACATTTCCAACAACAAATAATTTCTTTCAGAAATGACACAACAGCACAATTCTTCCACAATTCTTTCATAAAACACAATTTTCCAATCAGCAACATGGTCACCTGAAAAAAATAATTGAAAAAAATATTTTTCCCATTATGGAAGGATTGCTACAGGTGGATCTTTGTCTCCTGGCCAAGGTGCAGTGCGGGCCCATTAGGGGGCCCAGCAAGGGCAGTGCTGAATCAGAACGGCAGCAAAAGCTTCAGCACAAAACACGTCCTCTGCAAGAGGGATAGGTTTAAATCTTGGAGACTCCAGTGTAAGATTAGAGATCAGATTGTGAATAAATTCTGCTTTCATGAGAGTCTACTGGGTTAGAACCACAGTAAAAACTCTAGGGTGAAAAGTTATCCCAAATCTGGCTCTGGTTTCTGTCACATCTGAAGTTATTAGGAAGAAAAATAATCAGGAAACAAGTTCTTACTCAAAGTCAACATTCTTCTATTCCGAAGGGCAGACACTGTAAAATTCCTTAAACAGAATAGTTTTCAAGTCCCCAGTGTAAATAAGCAGCAAACTTTCCATACTACCAAACACAATGTTAAAACACAGCTCTACACCTACTACAGCCTGAGCCCTCAATTCAGCTCAAAACTATTAAGAAGTCTTTTTTAATACTGCCTTCTTAAGTCATTTCTTGCTCTTCTGTTACAGACCTCAAGACTAGGCAATGTCTAATTAGGGCACTTCAAAGACTTCTGAATGCAATAAATAGTGTCTTACGTGTGTCATAAGAACATTTGTCAACAGGGAGTGAAATAAAGAATGGGTGCCTTCAGACTAGATAACTTCAAAAAGAAAAAAACTCGAGTTTTCAGTAAGAGCAGAGTAAAAGGAATACAGCAAATTATCTTCATCAGATCAATAAAATGCATATCTAAAAGTATTTTTTTCTTAAGAGTGCAAAGATTGTTAACTAGTCTTGTATATTGTGACTGCCTGCACAACACAGAATAAATCTACAAAGCCAGCATCTAAAGGGAGAATATCATTAGTTATTAGAACATTCACACGTTTAATACAAGCACCTTTGAGCCAAATTCGAACATCAGTCATGTTGGAAGCAAAAATAAGGTATAGAATTTATGAGCTGGGTTAACTAAATGCTATTAATATGGTTCTTTTTCATAGTAGCTACATCTGCTAACAACAATTGCTAAAGATGCAAAGTAAACTCCTAATTTTGCTGAGATAGAACAAATGCTGTAAATGAAACGAATTTTCTCATCTATACAACTTTTTAAAGACAATACATTTTTTACGCTTCTGGATCTTTGGTCATGAAAATATTTTTTTAGGAGGCCCATATATATAAAAATGAATATCTAAAACTAAACAGATGCTATCCAGTGCTTCCTTATGCCTATTTAAAACTTTCTACTTACTGATCTGTACAAAGTTGTGCAGTGGCTTGTGTTCAGGCATTGTTACTCTTTGAGGAAGAGTATTTCAATGTTTTTGAATAGAAGAAACAGCATTATAAAGATGGCAGTGGTTAAGCAAACAGTTATCAACTACTATCAATTCCATTTCCGCTATAGCTTTTTCCTACTTTGTTTTGATATACCCAATTGTTATAGCAGAACCTACAGCCTTGAAATAAATACTGGGGCAAAACTTCTAGGTCTGTCTGGGGGCTTACAGATGGAATCTGTATAAACAATCCTGTAGGCTGAGTATGGGATAAGTATTCAAATATAATCTAAATATTTTTCTCTTTATTTGCTACTAGGTTTTACTAACTTGGATATTGCCATGATTTCTTTTCACCATTGGACACATTTGAAAGTAGAGCAATAATTCCACTGAGTAGGAAATAATGCACTGAGAGGAACTTGCTAAATCTTTATAAAACTTTTAAGTACACTTCTGCAAATTCTGGTTAAGATCAAAAATACCTTTGTAGAATAACATGAATTTGCTGCTTTTGCCAAACGTTCGTGTTTGTGCTCAATATCAGGCTGCACATGCAAAACACTGGGAAAACAAGCTGTCTCACTATCCAGTAGTATGATTTTAACTTGCAGTGCAGGTAGGTAACAAGTTGTACCATAACTATATAAATGGCAACTGACAAAAACAGATTTATTTTCCTTATGGAGATGTAAATCCCTTGGATCTTTCATGCATATTCCTATCTCATGCAGAATTTGTCTTTTCAGTGTATTTTTCTTTAAAGATGTTGCCTACATTCATTCAAAACAGAAGAGACAACATTGGTCTTGTTGAAGTATGAGTAGGAATAAGCTCCAACTCAGAGTAGCAATGCTCCTGGGTTATTATGCGAAAAAGACTGTGTCCCTTAGATTTATCAACATAAAACTGCACTGAATAAGATGCCTCCACCTGTACTTTCCCATCTTGTTGAGCAGAACACATGCTGAAGGCAGCTAGGTGTTTGCCTTGCAGAAAGCTGGGAACTGCTTGCTATCACGGAAAATCCAAATTAGTTTACCACAGCCTGGGGAAGAGAGACAGTTTCAATCTCAGCTTCTGCTGCAATCAGTGTCCTCTTGAACAGGTTCAACAGATTAAAGAAAAAAAAAAGAAAAGGTATTGTTTCCATTATTTGGCCATGGAAGTTTGCAGAAACCCTTCTCAGCACCATCAGTCACATTCAAGGCCCCTCTAGGCAGCAATTCTCTAGGCAGAAGTTGACTAAGAAGTCAACTTCTTGACAGGAGGTGGAGAGTTCAAGCCACACGAGAAGCTATGTATTAAAAGAAAAAACTCAATTTAAACTGTAATCCTCAGCCAGACTCGGCAACTCCTTAACCTGCTGCACCTTAGCTCTGCAAAAGCCCAGATACAGAACGCCTTGCTCAGTGCTCCAGGGCAGAAGTGTGTTTAACTGTGAGGGGATATAATAATGTGGGAATGGTAGATTGTTCTCCTATGGGCAAACAACTCCCCTCCATAGGATAGTTGCCTCCGGAGCCGACAAGCAAGTGAGAAAATACCTTGTAATACGGCATTGGGATTGCCACTTAAGCATGAGAAAAGCAGATTTTCTGCAAGTGTTTCACACCTTCATGAATTCCCACCTGACAATGTGCCCAAGCAAAGTTCACCACGAGGAAGACATTCTAGCCTTTTCAACCCAAACACAATATTGTTTCTTCTGTTACATCTAGATTTGAGACAGCTCAGAAGTGAGATTGCCTGCGCACAGGTGTTAACATGCAAAGATTTCAAGCTGATTCCTGCTTTACTCTTCCCACATGTTTTAAGGATTCCTGAGGAGTTTTCCAAAAAGGTATGCGAGATCATCATCTGGGAGGATGCGCGGTGTCTGTACAGGTGTCCCTGGCTTTCACTGGGCAATAGGCATACCAAGCAATAACATGCTGGAAGTACTCTGCCTTTGACCTCAAAGCTGATTCTCTTGTAGCCAAGGCCAAAGTGAGGGAAAGGGGACTACAGCAGCTTAAGCTTTGAAAACTTGATTCAAGTTCTAGTGCTGTTACAGTCTTAATTTGCAATTTTGAGAAAATGACTAAATGTGATTTCTCTTTTGTTTTTGCATTTGTATAAATAAAAAAGAAGTTCTTACTGTCTTGACACTATATGAGATCTGCTAAGGCTCATGACACACCCGCTGCCGGGTGCTGAAGGCAGTAACCCGGCCTACGCTGGTACACCTTCAGCTGCTTCGCTGTCCCTAGGAAAAAGAGTGAAATTAACTTCTAAGATTTTACTATGATTATTTGGATTTCAAAATTAGCTGTAGACTTTGAGCAGCATCATATTTACTTAGAAGTGATACTTCCCCTCAATGCAGAGAAATCAAAAGCACAAGTTCTCCTTTTTAACTAATTTTCCGCTTCAAAATGTGTCACAGCACAAACAATGTGTGTGAAAAAGAGAACTAAGCTGGGCTGTACGTTTTTACTATTTATTGCTTCTTATGTTGCTATTATTTAGCACTTTCTATAGCTAAGACATGTCTTTTCCTTTGGACTATGAGAAGACTACCATGACAATCTTTAAAAAGAGATATGGCTGCTGTGAAACATCACTCTTACCTACATCGGCTGTGTGTCAGTTAAACAGAATCCTTGGAACAGGAGGGAAGTTGTGCAGCTGGGTATGTACATTCAACCTGGGAAGGAAAGTAGTGAAATGCTGATGCCTATATCTTACACAGGCTTGAGTCATTACAATCGGAAAGTAAGGAAATTTGTTTAAAATTGCTCATCCAGCAGTACATCAAAGCTATTCAGCCTGGATAGAAGGAATCTCAAACAAAAATTCAGATATTGAATCCAATTTATGGCCAGAGGGGCCAAAGACACCAGCTCACTGTAAAACCTGAGCTCGAAGATAGAGCCAACGGCTCAGACAACAGAAAAGGAATTTTCAAGGAAGCACATCTCAGTCATACAGTATCTACTGCAATCAACAGGGACTTTGCAGCCGTGTCCCTGAGCAGCAGAGAATGCTGCCCTCAGGGAGTATCTGGTTATGAGACTCTCCCCTAACTTTGTTATGCTCAACAAAGCTGGACTGTAGGAACTTGCTTTGGGCAAATCTTAGCATGGAGACATCGGTTACCAGTGCTGTATCTGTTGTGGTGCCTGCACACACATAGGATGGCCCAAGTAATTCTGCTGAGGCTGACAGCTCTTCATGTGAAACCTTTTATGTCTGTTAGGAAAATGACTTCCAGTAACAAAGTAAAGGTGTGATATTTTGGAAGATGTTTTGAACATGTGAGGTCTTTTAGATTGTGGGATTGTCTTTTTCCCCAGAGTTTGTTTTTAAAGCTGTCTGATCACATCTTTTCCCTGCTTTGTCACCTCAGAAGCTAGCTGTGCTTCCATTGATGCACTAAAGTCTTTCAGCATCCTTCCACGCCTACACATTGCTTCCCAAACACTGTGGTGAGCCTCAGTAGGGCAGCACGAGCCCTGCAGCTGAGACATGGCATAGAGCCCAAGGTAACGCACTACAATGCTGCTGGTCATACTGGCAGTTTCCCCAGAGCATAATTTTCTCAAGTGAGGTTAGGAACTCAAAGGGTTGGGAATTTCCAGTCTAGCAGGTGCAAAGAGAGATCAGGGCTGCAAGTATTTGTGGTCGTTCCAACCCTCACAGCACTTTGGACAAGCATTCTCAGAAGGCTGACAGAGCAAGGCAGGCTGAATGAAAGACCTGTTTAGATGGCTACTTTTCAAAATCCTGCTAGACTAACTTCAGAAGGCATTCCGGCAGAAGTTACCTTGGTTTCTACCTTTATTAGGCTGGGATATCCAAGTTTGCTGCCAGTCTGCCATTAATGTTCAATGGAATTCTTCTGTTTCTCTAAAATTAAAGTATAAAAACTCATAAATCTCGCACTCTTAGCTTAGTAACATAAATAATAGCAACAACATAACACCAATTTGCCAGCCTAGCTTGCACAGACCAGGGTCATTGCTGTGCCAAGAGGACACAGTTACCACAAAGCTCTTTGTGGAGAATTAGGCAGTGGTACAAAGACAAAAACATGAAGCTGTTTTCAGCAGCAAGCTATCAAATATTTTCTAAACTATCTTTGTGTTGATAGGCCCATGTTTAAACTATGAATTCTGCCACTTTCTTCCTCATCTGAATCCCAGGGACTCTTTACTTTCACTGGCACTAGAATGATTGTGCTACGGTACACGCTGGAACTTCCCAGTGAAAAAATACTGAGACAACTGAAAATTAACAAAATATTGCTGGTTTAACACTATCTTGCTAAAGCACTGTCAATTTATAAGCATGCTGTTCTTTTATTACGCTATTTTTACTAGCACAAGTTATTTCATCAGGAAGCCAAGGATTGAGCGTGAAGCATTTTCACTAGCAGTTGGTTGCAGCTGCGTGCTCTGCAAGAACGCCACGAGCACCGGGACCTGCAGCAATCCCCAGCTGCTGCCTGGCCTACGGACGGAGGAAAAGGCGCTGAGAAAAGCTCTTATTCCTTCCCTTGGTTTTCCAGAAGTCTGTGAGCATTACAAACGCGCAGATCTCTTAGCAGTAGTTCGGACACAGGCAGTGCACAACAGTACTCGTCTTGTTAACGGAAGGACTTGTCATTTTTCTATATCTGAAAGCCATTTCTTAAAAAGAAGAAATAAAAGAAAAGAAATTCATGTCCTTTCTGTCACTGCCACTGGAGTTCAGTCCAGTACACTAGCGCATTGGAGCATGTGACAAAAAAAAGCTGTAAATCCCCTTACACTGAAATAAAACAGAGCAAGAATGGGAAACAGAATACAAATGCAAGTCCAAACCAACAAGGAAAAGGATGTGTGCAAAACCACAGCTCTGTGTCAACTTTCAGAATGATGGAGGCAAGAAAACTAGGCGAAAATACTACACTGACAGTTGCAGAAACCATGTATTTTAGGGGCTTCCCTAGAGCATTTCTGATTTTTGTCATCTAAAACACACACCAGACACAAAAGATACCAAAATCCACATCAGACACAGCTCTACCGTTGGTCACTGGAATAAGCCGGTGCTTACCATGCCTTTCACTGCAGTAGCTGTGCTGCTGTTCTTGTAACTGCAGCCAGCGAATGTGGAGTCGTAGACCCGTCACTCCACTTCCTTCTTCAGGAGCTTCAGGTCCACGTTTCTGCAGCCCTACAGTGTGGTCTCTGGGCTGCTCTGCTGCAGGGAAGGGGAGCTCTCGACCCCTCTGCTGAAGCTTCTCTACCCTGCACGAAGGAAGAAAGTCAGACAGCGTATTCTTGGAGAAACAAACAGTTTTGGGTCCTTGCCCTTCTTCCAAGGTTTATTCAGTATTTTAAATTGGTGTTTATTTACACGTGGATCATGAATTTGGGCCCATTCACAGGAGAAACAAATGCTTCACCCTCTGGTGGGGGAGCCAGGCAGAATAGCTTTCGCCAGAGCAGCTGCAGGGCCTCCACCACAGCCCAGAGCTTCCTGCTCTTCCAAGCCGGGAGCGCCAGGCTCGCCGCCTTCCAGGCAGCAGAGGGAATTGTGGTCTCTTCTGGAGCACAGACTCAGTTGCAAAAGGGGCTCAGAGACCACAGACACCAACCTTGCTTTTGGTTTTGCCAGAAGAGGTTGAGGCCCTCACCCCAGGAGAGGATCAGTGCTGTGTCCTGCACGTAGAGCGAGCTATCGCCAGCAGCACCTGGTGTATCGTGTAAGGAACAGGCAGTCAATGTGCCAGACCCTGTTCCAAGGGTGGCTTATGCAGGGGCTTCAGCTACCTAAAGACCAATCCTGTGCACCTCTCCCTATTTGTATCATTCAGGCCTACAGAAACAGCATGGATTTTGCGAATTTTAATTCCTCAGACAACCCTTCAAGTTCTCTGTGACTGAATGCAAGGAATTTTAGGGAGCTGAAGCTATTCATTGAACCAGAAAAAAATGTATTAACAAACTAAGGAAAGACACTATTAAACCAGAATGCTGTAGAAGTAGGTACCACAGTCTGCTTCACAAAAACCTGCAGGTCAAATGAATTAAGATCTGTAGGTAACAGCTTCTCACTTCATTGCATCACCAGATTAGGAACACTTTCTTACTTCTCTTTTTTGTGTTTTGTCTACATTCTGCTTGTTTCTGAGAAAGTTATTGCCTTTACCACTCCTCCAACACCAATTTAGAATAAATAAGAACAACAAATGCAAGCAAACATTGCAAAAGCTGCTTAACCACAGCCTCCACAACGAAAGATGAAGTGGACCTTGCCAGTGAAAACAGAGGTTGAAGAATTGTCCAGCAAGTGCCTCAGGGATCTGAACAAGACTATATAGAGATTACTAGCAGCAAGAGGAAAAAAAAAAAACCAAAAAAATAGCTAATGAATAAGAAGCTTACAGCTTTAATAAGCAACTTCAACTTTTATCTTTACAGAGAAAGCAGTAGAATCATAGAATCATCAAGGTTGGAAAAGATCTCCAAGATCAAGTCCAACTGTCACCCCAACACCACCATGCCTGCTAAACCATGTCCCAAAGTGCCACATCTGCACGTTTTTTTAACACCTCCAGGGACAGTGACTCCACCACTTCCCTGGAGAGCCTGTTCCAATGTTTCACAACTCTTTCAGTAAAGAAATTTTTCCTAACATCCGATCTAAACCTCCTCTGATGCAACTTGAGGTCATTTCTGCTCATCCTATCACTAGCTACTTGGGAGCAGAGACCAACACCCACCCCACTACACCCTCCTTTCAGGTAGCTGTAGGGAGCAATAAGGTCTCCCCTCAGCCTCCTCTTCTCCAGACTAAACAGCCCCACCTCCATCAGCTGCTCCTCATCAGACTTGCTCTCCAGACCCCTCACCAGCCTCACTGCCCTTCTCTGGACACAGACCAGCAACTCAGTGTCCTTCTTGTAGTGAGGGGCCCAGCACTGAACACAGTACTTGAGGTGTGGCCTCACCAGTGCCAAGCACAGGGGCATGATCACCTCCCTACTCCTGCTGGCCACACCATTCCTGATCCAAGCCAGGATGCTGTTGGCCTTCTTGGCCACCTGGGCACACTGCTGGCTCCTGTTCAGCTGGCTGTTGACCAGCACCCCCAGGTCCTTTTCCGCCAGGCAGCTCTCCAGCCACTCCTCCCCAGGCCTGGAGCGTTGCATGGGGTTGGTGTGACCCAAGTGCAGGACCCGGCATTTGGCCTTGTTGAACTTCATACAGTTGGCCTTGGGCCCCTTGGCCCCCTCTCGGCTCCAGCCCGTCCAGATCCCTCTGCAGAGCCTTCCTACCCTTGCGCAGATCGACACTCCCACCCAACTTGGTGACATCTGCAAACTTACTGAGGGACCACTCGATCCCCTCATCCAGATCATTGATAAAGATGTTAAACAAGACTGGCCCCAGTACTGAGCCCTGGGGAACACCGCTCATTACAGGCCGCCAGCTGGATTTAACTCCATTCACCATCACTCTTCGGGCCTGGCCATCCAGCCAGTTTGTTACCCAGCGAGGAGTGCACCCATTCAAGCCATGAGCACAGCTGGTTTCTCCAGGACAATGCTGTGGGAAGAAGCAACAGTACTCAGTCTGTTGTATTAATCTCCTGCTGTGCTAAGTTTCTCAACTGTCTGATAACCTTTAGGGTTTTTTACTTAACAGGTTTGGATTACTTTTACATTATTTTTTTTCTTTCTCAACAAGCCTATAGGGGACTGGCTTAAGTCAGGAAAGATATTGGATACTTGTGTGAGTGAGTACAGGCCTTTTAAATTCATATAGTGAAGCAGGGAAGGGACCCCAGGCATCTTTTCTGGTGAAATCAGGAGACTGCCGCTCTGCAAAACGGATCCTGTTCGTGCTTACCACAGCAGGTCTATGAAGTCATTTAAACCAAACTTTTGACAAGTGTCCAAACAGCCCAAGTTCCTTATTTCTGGAGTTCCCAAAGTGAGAAGTAAAAGGTGATTTGCAGAAGTAACAAGTACCAATAACTGCTGCTGAAAATGACTGAAAATTTGAAAGTATCAGGAGACATATAAAGCTAAACTAAGCAGTCTGCATCCGAAGAGTTGGGAAGCGATGCACCCCAAGCCGGAAGAGAGCTGGTGGCTTTGCTTTGGTATGCCTTTGTCTGGGCTGTTTCTAAGTGACCACCACACAGTCTCAACAGAATAATATACCGAAGTAAACTCATCCATAACTGCATAGCATTTTGTTTCCCAGGTAACTGCACTAGAGATTCCTACAGGAGGAGTTAAATAAGGCCTAAAGTCACACAGTGAATACACAGGATAAAACAAACTATTTAATAAAAATATGTAATGTTTTCTTTATTTTTTCCTAACTGAAAGGAATACAGACACTACTGCACTTTCTAGAATCAAAACCAGTTACTGTGCAACAGTGGGTATTTATACTCCTCACTTGAGACACTCGGAAACCATTTTTCGTCTCTTCAGCCATAACTGAATGAAGGATCAAAATAACTTTTAATATAATCTCTGTTTATATTTAGGGCCCAGACCTCTTCAATGTTGACATATCTTCTGGGTACCCATTTCTTACTGATGGGAGAACTTGATCTCTACTGAAAGCGTATTGCCACGCATCACCCGGCTAAAATACACTATCCTGATCTGTCAGGTAAACACTGTGGCCTCTCCCCCGTTAATACAGGGCTGCCGATTGCAACAATTCAGGTAGGTGCAGCTAAAAAATTCCACAGAAATTGGTTCTGGGCCAAAGCAGGAAATCATCTTCTACAAATTGGTTAGAAAATGATGCTATCAGGAAGTCATCCTTTTAATACCTTCTCTAATTTGGCCTGTCTCCTCAAAATTTAAACATTTTATTGAACCTCTGACAAACCCCGTAAATGTATCTAATGCGAGGTAAGAGTTATTCCTGGATTAACAATATTTTCCAGTATTCAGAGGAACAGACTGCCTCAGTATCTCAGTGGTGTTTACGGTTAAACCAGAGCAACGACTGTCGAGTTATTCAAAACATTCTGTGCAGTTACAGGGCAAGTCTCTGATACCATGCCAGGGCAAGATTCTGGGCAAAGGTCCAAAGAAGAAAAGAAATCAACTGACTTCACGTTAGTCCTGTGAATAAAACACCATATTTGCCTTAGAGGAGGTTCTATTTATTGTTGAAACAGAAAGCGAGAGAGATTTCTCAGTTATTCATAGCCAGCCTTTGGCACTGACAGTGCTCCACGACACAGGCCACTGTTTGCTCTGTGGAGAGGACTGCCTGTACGGTAACGGCAAGTGTACAGCAGCAAATGATACCATCTTCAACTATTTTATGCTATACGTTTCAGTCAGCAATTAAATGAAATCTTAATAACTGGTCAAGGTTTTCCTGTGTTCAAACCTGAAAACCAAACCACAATTCATAAATTCTGTGTAGCTATCTTTCGGTTTTGTGCTGTTGAAGCAGTATTTGAGGACTTGCATCACCTTTAGGGCGCTGCTAATCTTGCCAATGTTCAAATAATTTGTAGTCAAATCAGAACACTGAAAAAATTGTTTAAAACAGGACAGTTTGTTCTGTGAAATCCTAGAAAACACTGGGAACTTCTGATGAGGTTTTCCTTGGATGCATTTATTTCAAACCAAGGAAGAATGCTTTTCTAATAATCCCAAAATGAAGAAATTCTTGGTTTGACCAACAATTTCTCTAGCAACCAAGGGTTCTTTCGAGCTCCTAATTTTCATTAAAAGAAAATGATAACCCATATAATACCTTGGATAACCACACAACATAATTTGTCACAGATTTTTAGAAAATGTTACTAAAACCATTTGCATGGCATAGTGATAGTCTTCTGTGGGATTATCCAATTGATTTTTTGTTAGGAAAACAGATAATCCCTGCAGTGAGTCAGTGCAGAAAAGCACCGGAAGGAGGGAAAATTAAATAAATGCTTATCTTCTTTAAAATTGAAAAACAAAACATAGGTTCTATTTCTTTTTCAGTCGTATCATTTAAGCTCTAATTAAATCAGCAGCACCAGAGCAGTAAATCAGACGGCTAATGTTACGACAGGCTAATTCTCACCTCTTCCAGAGAAGCAAGTACTGTTTTATCTCTCAGGGAAGGTAGCACAGAGTTACTTTCTGGTGCCTTAGAACAAAAACGCAACAGCTCAGGCAATACCACAACATTACAGAAGTACTAAACTCAAACCACCAGACTTGTTAGCCAAACTGCGCTGTGAGGTGAAAGCAAGGCTGATACCACAGCCGAGATGAATACTCTGGCACTCAAGAAGGCGCGAGACCTCCCTCCGCTGTTTAACGCTTCTGTCAGTGCCATTCCGAGAGTTGCTTCTGAGTCAGAAGCCGGTTCTATTTGAGTTACTGTTAATACGTTGCTCGTAAACAGAAGTGCATGTTGCTACAGTAAATGAAGTAGAGGTCAGCTTCAGGCATGCATGTAGTTACTTAATAATTGTACCTCATGATAGATCTCAGAGAGTTTATATCTTTTTTGGGAGTGAAAGCCACTTAAATATTTTAATGATCTAGGCTATCATGAGCCATCCTGTCAAATTAGAGACTGCCTATTCAGTTTAGCACAAGTCTGCTGTACTTACTGCCACATTATGAAGTGTTTTCTTAACCCTACCAAGGCCAAAATATGACTACCACCACATCAACGTTATTAGCCATAAAACACACCTTTTCCCCCCTACAATTACGAATCCTGCTAACAACAGCTCTACCAGTTTTTGTGATGCGTAAGGTGTTGTCTGTTGTCTTGCTCTAATGACAGCTCTTGCACAAAGCTGCTTTCCAATTAGTGTTTTTGAGATGCTCACCTCAGTAACTCCTGTACTTACTCAACAGACACATTATGGTTTAGACAGACGTTTTAGACAAGACAAAGAGTTTGCTATTTTGCAGGCATATTTAATGCTAGTAGCTATCCAGATCTTCCTTGATCCTCCACTTCATGCTTAGCAGCCTGGACTATTTCCCCCTGTTCTTGTGAAACCTTTGCCTGTATTTAGAGGGGCTGGACTAGATGATCCGCAGAGGTCCCTTCCAACCAGTACCATTCTGCATGATTCTGTGTCTTGAAGCTCACTTGTTCCATTTCATGTTCCTCTTCCTCAACTCTGCTGCATAAGCCACCTGCAATTCAAATAAAGGCAAGAACAACCTTTTAACCGCAGGGCTGCGTGACCCATGCCGTAGAACCCCCGCCGCACTGCAGTTGGGAGTGGGCTGCCCCCCAAAACCCACATGGCAACAGGGGCCCGCTGTGAGGCCGGGGATGGTGCATGGGGCTCAGGACAGCGCCCACAGGCCGGTGGTACCGGCTGAAGCCTGCAGAGGAGACGTGCAGGCCTGTACCACATTCACACACCTGCACCTTCACCTCTCCCCCCACTGCTTCTCCCTGCTGGGGTTCACCCTCAGCACCGGACCACAGAATCACAGAATGGTCAGGGTTGGAAGGGACCTCTGTGGGTCACCCAGTCTAACGCCCCTGCTGAAGCAGGGTCACGCAGAGCAGGCTGCACAGGACCTCGTCCAGGCGGGTCTTGAATATCTCCAGAGAAGGAGACTCCACAACCTCCCTGGG